ATGTGGCAAAACTAGCTGAAGAAGTTGAACTATACAACAGAGGGTTACTCATATTATCTTCCACTTGGTTATTATGAGACAGAGTGTATGTCTCACAAGATGTTTTTATAGAGTTTTTATCACACAAAATGCTTTATTCACAAGGTTCTGAAGAACTTGAAAAAAACGTGTTAATTTTGGCACTTTACTTAAAACGGCTTCATGGGTTGCTTGAGAGTCCTTGGCAAATTGTTTTCTCTGAAAACCTGACAGTCTTTATTAACATTTTCAATAAGAAAATATTCAAAGTCAAACTAACACTGTAAAACTTTGTTTCCTTACTGGAAACATAAATTCTTCATAAAGTAAGTTTTTTAATTCATCATTAAGGTTAATTCTGATTAACATTTGCAACCCTTTTTATAACATCATTTTTATCAACTTACTCTTTGTTGGTTTATTTATTTTATTATCTAAGCAAAACAAATAAAAGTTCATCATTAATAATTAAAATTACTTTAAAAAGTAATTAAAACAAATAATGCAAATAAAACTTTGCTTTAGTGTAAACAAAAGAAATTGTTAAAAAATACATTGACTAAAATTTAAAAAATATATATTTTAAATAGACTAAAAAGGTAAATAAATATATATAATATATATAGAGAAGTTTTTAAAAAAGCAACATTTTTGAAACAGATTAAAAAAAGAAAAACAAACTTTTTATCTGGATCTACGGTTTTTATGTACATACACAACCTGAAATATCTATTAAAGTCAATGACTAAAAATGTTGGGAGCCCAAAGTTTTAAATGGTAAAGATATTTTATGAAGTTATAAAGACTGCTTAAAAAAAAATTTTCCAGCTGTGCCCCATTGGCTATGGCACCAGGGCACCTTTCCCCAGTTGTCCTCCCCCTAGAGACGGCCCTGTAAATATATATATATATATATATATATATATATATATATATATATATATATATATATATATATATATATATATATATATATTAGGGTGATTCAGATTGTAATAGAAAAAAAAAATGTCACAAAAAACATTCTCCTCAAGGTTGCCTGTGTTCCTTTATCACCTAGGACCATGTGTACCAAAAATTAGACTAAAAGAAGCAATTTTAGGGGTTGCCATGTTTTATAAGATGAATTAACCATTGGTAAAATTTTGTGATTTTCTCAAATTTCGCAAATTTGTTTTTTCATTGTTTATTTATTTATAATTTAGAAATTGATAATATGGCAACCACTAGATCTTCTGCTGAGGTGTGGCTTGTTGGTAAACCTACACAAACTCTGTCGACTGCCAGACTTCCTTCAAGAGGGGATGTTCTTCGGAGGTTGCTCTTCCATCATATAGAAGAGAAACAAGAAGTAAAAAAAAGTATTCGGGCAACAATTGAAGCAGTTCTTGTTATATGGGAGAGAGGAAAAATTCCAACTCAAAGAATTGACAATGCGGAAAGAAAGTTAAAAAAACTTTATGACGAATATCTGCTGCTGAAAAAACACCGAGGATCAAAATTGGACAGCTGTCAAATGAAAGAAGGAATTTTCCACGCTGACCTTGAAGAACTTTTTGATATTTCAACCAAGAATGCATCAGAAGTTATGAAAAACGATGAAGATAAAGCATTTTTACGTCAGCAGCAAGAAGATCCATTAAGTTGTAGTATGGCAGGAATTGATCGGAATTTAACAGCTAGGGAGGCATGGAAACGAGTCCGAGAAACTAAAATGGAATTGAGGCGTCAAAGAAGTCAAGCAGAACTGATGGAAAAAACAGAACTCATTTCTTCTTCATCAGCAGTTGACATTGTGAGTGAAAGTAGCTCTAGTTCCTCGGATGATGATGTATATCAGACTCCTTCCGCTTCCAGCACACTGAGCACAAGTGGTTCAACGAAAAAGAAGATGAAAGTTCTAACAAATAATGTTGTATCATCTCTTGATTGTGTTAATATTTCTGATCGCCGTGCACTCTTCGTGGTTGGAACAGTGTCTCAGGCTCTTGGTCACTCGGTAAAAGATTTATCATTGTCGTACAGCACAATCCGCAGAAAAAGGCGATCTGTTCGTGAAGCGGTGACTACAGCTGACAAGGTTGATTTCTCTCCTGATGATCCACTTATTCTGCATTGGGATGGAAAGCTCTTACCTGATATCACTGGTGGTCAAAAAAAAGTGGATAGAATTGCCATCCTTGTGACTGGTGGTGGGGTGGAAAAATTGCTGGGCGTTCCAAAGATTGATCGAGGTACAGGTGAGCAACAGGCTGATGCTTGCATGAAGGCTCTTAAAGACTGGAAATTGAAAGAACTTGTTCGTGGACTGGTTTTTGACACTACTTCATCTAACACTGGGTTGAACATTGGTGCCTGCACAATAATGGAGCAGAATCTTGACCGTAATCTTATATGGATAGCAAGCAGGCACCATATGTTTGAAGTCATGCTTTCCACCATTTTCACGACTGCATTTGGAACCAGTGGAGGACCTGAAGTTGGAATTTTTAACCGTTTCCAGAAACAATGGCCAGCAATCAACAAGGAGGTGTTCACTATAGGGAATAAAGAATTTTACAACTGCGATTTTTTTCTCAAACTCCGTGAAGAAATGGTAGTATATTATAGTGAAGCAATTAAAGGTCAACAACCCAGGGATGATTACTTAGAACTCTTGAATTTGTGCCTTATTTTTCTTGGAGGATCAACTACAACATCGGATTTCAAAGTGAAGTTTCGGGCTCCAGGTGCAACACACAATGCACGTTGGATGGCAAAAGCTATATATTGTATAAAGATATATTTGTTTCAGGATCAATTTGTTATTACTGCAAAGGAAAAGAAAGGAATAACAGATATAAGTCTTTTTGTGGCATTTGTATACGGACAGTTTTGGAATGAAGCTCCCTTAGCTGAACGAGCACCATTCAATGATGCCAAGCTTCTTCAACGGATTCAAGAATATCCAAATCGTACAATTGCAATTAATGCAGCAAAAGCTTTTCATCGCCACCTCTGGTATTTTTCTGAACATCTAATAGGATTGGCTTTCTTCGATTCCCGTGTCGACAACAACACCAAGAGAGACATGGCAAACAACCTGAAACAACAGCCAAGGCAGAAATCTCTCAAAAGACTTGATGCTGCCACATTCGATTGTCACAGCCCATTGCCTTCCTTCGTCACACAACGCACCGCAGAACTTTTCGATCTAATTTTGAAAAATGGAAAAGAAAAAGCTGAATCATTTTTAATGAAAGAATCTTCAGAGTGGGAAATGGATTCAACATATCTTGAAATGAAGCACAAGGTTGGTCAAATGAAAGTCGTCAACGATTGCGCGGAACGAGGCATAGCACTTATAACATCCTTTAACTCAAGCATTACGAAAGATGAAAACCAAAAGCAGTTTCTTCTTAGATTGGTTGATCTTCACCGGAAGGAATTTCCAGTTGCATCAAAGTCTACCCTGATGAAGATGACTGTTGAATGATGAAGATAATTGATTTATTATTGCCTAGTGCAATTACATAGTAGTACTATAGTATTGATTTTTTTAACATTGAACATCCACAATCCACCACATAATAATAAGAAATTGATAATAAATAATTCAGTAATATAATATAAAAAATGTAAAAATAAAAAATATTTTTTTTACTTTTTGTAACCTTATACCAAAATGTGACAAAACATGGCAACCCCTAAATATCATCCGATTTGATTCAAATTTTGGCCAATAACTACTATTGTCATATAGAACAAGGGCAAGCTTGAGGACAACTAAAGTTTTGAACCTACAAATTTTGCATCACCCTAATATATATTATATATATATATATATATATATATATATATATATATATATATATATATATATATATACATATATATATACACATACACACACACACACATATATATATATATATATATATATATATATATATATATATATACACACACATATATAAATATATATATATATATATATATATATATATATATATATATATATATATATATATATATATATATATATATATATATATATATATATATATATATATATATATATAGCCTCTGAATTAGGGTCAGTATACAGCAAATGCCAACCTAAAAGTGTTTGAGGTCAGTAAAAGATTTCTATGTTTTAAGGTAATCTCTTTGTTATACAATTAATTGAATATATGCATATACATATACTTCATAATTTATATCATAACGAACTTAAATCTTTGAGTGAACAATTTTTTTCATTTCTCTTCTTATTATACCATACCATATTCCTGCAAAAACAGGGACATGACACTATAAATACATAAGTAGAAAAATAAAAAAACCTGTTTATCAAAAGATTGAAGTTCTTTTGTTATAAATATTTTTTTTTTTTATTATATAAATCTTAATTACTTCCTTTTTAACTTTAATAGGAAGTTTAACATTATATATTTATATATAATTGTAAAAAAAACTTTTATACCCAATTGAAAATACTATGAAAGGCTTTCTGTGTTGCCACTATAAGAGATAACTGTTGTTACAAAAATTGCTTAGCTAACATTTCAAAAATCTATTCTTTCATACATACACATGCACACACACACATATATCCACATATAAACATGCACACACATACATGCACACACACACATACACACATATGCATATTTAATTATTTTTTTTGTTTATTTTTGTAAATGTAGTCAATAATATTAAAACAGCTTACAAACAGTATTAAAAAGAACAAAAATAAGTTTTAATTTATGTTACAGTTATGTGATTAGAAATAAAGCAAACATCTAGTAATAGACTTAAACATTAGTGTATTCTCTGACAAAATGACAAAAATTCTCTGACAACATTGTAAAGCCAGCAATTTATTGACAAACAGTCAATAAATTGCTGGCTTTACAACTTTATTTCTTAATTCAGAGGACTGTATATTATACAGTCTAATAACAAATACATTATACTTAAAATAGCAAAAATATATATACATGCTTTTTATCATTACTCCATCCACCTTCATAAACTTTTTGCAACTCCTTATTTTGAAATGGAAGACTAAAAGTACCATGCCCATGTCTCATGTCATTTTCCCAGTCACCATCATAAAAAGCACCTGTTTTTTGCCAATACTGTGTTCCCTTGCCTAATTTTACAAAAAAAAAAAAAACTTTCTGAATATATTAAGCATATCAATCAGACTAAACTTTATTGATACAAATAATTTTTTATAACTAAAATAAAAAAATTGATAATTGAGATAATAATAATAAAAACAATTGAAACTTTTTATTTACCATGTCGTAAATTATTTTTCCATTCACCTGTATACTTATCACCATTTGCTAAGTATACAGTATGATGAAGGCCAGTCTTTTGTGCCTTAAGATCCCATTTCTTCCATTGTTGGTTTTCTGATTTCGAATCTTTTTTAATTGGCATTTAAAAATACTGAAACCAAAATAAGGATTACCATTTTGTTTAAACTAAAATTTTTTAATAAGATTTGTATATATATATATAACCTTAAAAAAATTTAATGTGAGCCACACGATATAGCGCTCTCAATTTATAGGATGGCATAAATGTGGGCCATGTATATGTTTGTTTTATGGTACTAATAATATTTAAGTGGCTTAAGTATTATAGACATATTTGGCCATACATGGCTAATAACTAAGTGATAAATACCATAGCCATATTTTACCCACATTTAAGTCACCCCATAAATTAAAAAAATACCCCGTAATAAAATGTGACTATCATTTATCGTAAAATGAGGTCCAAATCAAATATTTGTGTTGGTATATACATATACATATATATATATATATATATATATATATATATATATATATATATATATATATATATGTGTGTGTGTATATATGTATATATATATATATATATATATATATATATATATATATATATATATATATATATATATATATATATATATATATATATATATATATATATATATATATATATATATATATATATATATATATATATATATATATATATATATATATCAAACCTTCTACTAATACTAACACACACATAAAAATAAAATTAGTAATTTGTTAAGACATCCTAAAAAATTATACTATGCATTTTATTTTAATAATAACATCAATAATGTAATGAATACTTGCAAAGGAATTAAAGAAATCATCAACAGCAAACCTTCTACTAATACTAAGTCTTTTAGTATCAAAATTAATGAAAATATTATCTCAGATCATACCAGTGTTGCTAATATATTTAATAACTATTTTGCAACTATTCAAGACAAAATAACTGTAAATATTGTTCCTCTTAAATGTGTTTTAAGCAACTTCCTTAAAATACCTAGTACTGATTCTTTTTTCATTGATCTCATGACTAAAGATGATGTGTCGAATCTCATAAAAAGCACTCTTAAAAATAATAAAAGTCTTGGTCCCAATAGACTACCAACATTTCTTTGTGGTATCTCAAATTGTCTTTAAACCTCTATGCACGATGAATAATTCTTTCAAAAATGGTTTTTTTTCAGAAGCTTTTAAGGTAGCCAAAGTAATTCCTACACACAAAAGGGATCTCTTCTAGACTACTCCATTTATTGACCTATTTCTCTTCTTACCTACCTAGGTAAACTGTTTAAAAAAACAATGTTCCAAAGACTAGACCATTTTTTTGGAGAAATATAAATGCCTTTACAAACACCAATATGGTTTTTGCAACAAACACTCAACAATTCATTCACTAATAGAAATAAAAGAGAAAGTTAGACAAGCCATTGACAAAAAATACTTTGTGCATGGAGTGTTTATTGACATAAAAAAAGCATTATATCCAGTTAAGCACAAGATCCTCCTAGAAAAACTGCAACACTACAGTATTAAAGGTATTCCTTGACTTTGTTTTTCCTTTTATCTTTGTAACAGATTTCTTACAATTAATAGGGTGCATCAAAAAACAACAATTTTTTAAAATTGCCTTGTCTGTGCTCTAAACATATGCGATATAATAAAATATCACTGGATAAACAAAAAATTTTGAAAAAAAAAAATTTTTAGAGGTGCCCCAAGTCCTTCGAACATTTATACAGCCCCTAAAATTCTGGGAAAAAATATTCTTCACAAGTAGGTCAACCTGGTACTCAAAAGAAGTGAAATTTTATAAAAAGTTCAAAAATAATATTTGTTTTATGTAAAAAATATTATTTTAAATTTTAATGCATAAAAACTATGGTTTTTAACTAAATTTTTATTTTTAGTGTGACCTTATTCAACTATCTATTTGTTTGGAAATCACAATAACCTTTCTCTTACATTTATCAACTTTTTTAATTTAAGGAAAAATTGTAACTACTTTCTGCTTGCAACTTTAAGTCATCTGTACCTAAATATGAAACTGTTCATTATGGCTATGAATCCATGCTCCCTATAACTATGTTTTAGAAAAATATTGTTTTTAAATCTTAAACCTTTCTACAACTTATTATTTACTAAATATTTTTATAAATATAATAGCATTCCTTCAAAAAAAATGATCTTAGCATCTCAAGAATTGATCTTCTTTTGAGTATTATAATAAATCAATCTTTTTAATCAGGGATATTTCCTGACTTGTTTAAAGTTGCTAACGTTGTTCCAATTTTTAAAAGTAACTGTAAACAAGGTCCTTGTAACTATTAGCCAATATCCTTACTCTCAAAGATGGACAAATTAATTTAAAAACTTGTGAATAACATGTTTTTTAAATGTACCAAATAGCTTATATAGTCTGCAATTTGGATTCTAAAAGAAATATTTTACTAACCAAGCACTAATAGCCATAACTGAAACTACATGCAAAGCTTTGGCCCCAAAAAAGTTTTGCTGGTGGAGTATTTGTTGATTTGAATAAAGAATTTAATACCGTCAACCATGAAATTCTATTGTCAAAACTATATCATTATGGTGTAAGAGGAATTGCTCATAACTGGTTTAAGTTAAACCATCATCTGCAAAGTGTAACTATTGGTAATATCTCATCAAATACTAAGTTCTATAAGTATTCCTCAGGCTTCAACTTTGGGTCCCTTCATTTATCTTATCTGCATAAATGAATTAAACACATATGTTAAGTACTCAAAAGTGTATCATTTTGCTGACAACACCAACCTCCTGATAGTAGATAAGTCTTTGAAAAAGCTAAATAAATACCTAAACTATGACCTAGCATCACTGGTTCAATGGTTGTGTTCAAACAAAACATCTTTGAATGTCAAAAGAAACTGAATTTGTTTTATTTAAACAATCATAATAAAGTACCCTCATTTTATTATCATAAAATTTATAAGGCTTTAAAGTTTGCGGCATTGTTATTAAACCATGTAACATATAATAAATAAAAAATAAACAATAAACTATTTTCTATGCAATTGCCCCCATTTAGCTATTCTTTATAACTAACTTTTATCTATGTTTCTATTTCCTTCTAAAATATTATGCTTAAAAAATTCTGATGCATAGTAAAACTCTCTTCTAGACTTCTACTTCTTCAACTCTTCTTTTTATTTCATTAACCTCTTCCCATTTTCTTTTCACATTTTTATCTATTATATTATTTTACTATTGATATTATTATGATTTTTAATTTTTTTTAATTCTGAATTATTATCAATGATAATCATTATTTGATACAAATGTTTTGTTTTAAATATATTAGTAAAATACATATAGGTTATATTGTTTTATATTACTGTATTTAATACTATTATTACTATTTTATTTTTGTTATCTTTATTGTTATATTATTATTATTATTAATAATATCATGCTATAATTTATACCATCTTAGGACTTTACACATCACCAGTTGATAACTGTTTATAAAAGTTCCTCATGATTGTATATATATATATATATATATATATATATATATATATATATATATATATATATATATATATATATATATATATAATATATATATATATATATACATATTTATTGTTAAAGCAAAAATATATTGATTTGATTTACTATTACTTTTAATTGCA